TGGTTAATAACTTCTTTTTTTTTTTTTTGGAAAACTGGAAATAGAAAATGTCTTCTAAAAACTAGAAAATATAATAGAATAAGATAACTAGGAAATACATTTATATTTTAACTGTGGGAAATCTGTTTATCCACAAATCAGCCACGTTTTTGGACTTCCAGGGCTCGAAAACAGGCCCAAAATAGCTAGAATTAAAGTTTGAGATGTCCCGAACATAATTGCAGACGATCTTGAACCCAAAAGACATCATCTTGGATGCCAAAAAGCTCAAATAAGCCTAAAACGTCACTTTGACAGCACTGCACACTGCTTCTTTATTTCATTGCCATAAATACACTGCTTGGTAGAATATTATGAAACTTTGATATGAACAAGTTGAGAGATACATGAACGTCCTCCAATTTGAATCACTCCAAAATTCGTCCGTTCCATCACGTTTTGCTCCAGAGAAAGTTGAATGTCCTACATTAAAAATACATAACAAAGTGTCAAATTTCACACAAAATAATCAATAAATTAATACTAAGATAAGGGTAAAATATATAGTATAATATTGACTCATCAAATACTGCCAAACTTGACTTTTTGCTTGTCTTCAAGCAAAACAAAACTTAAAAAAAAAAATAAAAATAAAAACTAGCAAACTAGAAACTTAACTAAGACAAATTTTCACTTTAAGTTGCAAGCCATATAAAACGTTAAAAATCAGAACATATTTTCAAAAGTTCCAACTAACCCCACTACAGAGTCTAAGCCATTTGGAATCAATTAGAAAGAAAAAAAATTCATAGACTTCCTTTGGTGTAAAGTGAACCAACATAATTAAAGAGACTTGACCAAAACTCTTACATCTCGTCCTTTTTATTCAACACTTCACACATACGAACTTGAAACGTAACTATTTTTTTTCTTCGATTTTTCTCCTTCTTTTTATTATTTTTTTCTTGTTTATAATTTTTTTTTCTCCAGTAATAGTAGTGGTCGTGCAATGTCAGTTCACTTAAGCTTTTGATCCAACCCATGTAACGAGCTACAAGTCAATGACTCTCAAACGACAAGGGCTTTAGGGCACAAGGTGTAGAACACCCCTAAGAACTTACTAACTCAAGCTAAAAAGGCTATGAAACCAACCAACCACCCTGCCCCATGCCAAAACTCTACCGTTTGACGCGTGAATCATTGCTGATTAGGCAAGACTGACCCGATTACTAAGCTAAGCCTCGGGTGGAACAATTATTATTTTATTTATAACAACTAAACTTCACTTTATTTAGAACAAAAATTAAAAATAAACTTCAACTAAAAGTAGGTGTTTCAATCTCACTCCCACAAACCATATTGATGTGAATGTGTATGTGCAAATTTTCAAAGTAGGATTTACAAACATGAAAAAATGAAAAGAGAAATTGACGAAGCAAATCAAATCAAGGGCAGATATAGGCTTTCCTAAAGCTCATATATGTTGCAAATCAAAGCAAATGATCGAATAAAAGAAACATCTGAACATTTCAACAATGACAATTGAAGGAACAAAGCCAAGCAGTAACAACTTGATCAGAGGGAGAAATAACCCATCAGCTTGTTTCTAGGGAATGTGAAATTTTGCGGAAAATAGTTTTGAAAGATCTGAAATTTTGCAGAAAAAGGATGGAGAAATGAAGAGAATGTGACGGGGTCAAAGAGGGAGAAAAGTAAAGAAGTTTCTAGGGAGTGGGAGAGTTCTTAAGAAAATGAATAATGTTGCATAATAATAAAATATTAATAAGTATGTATTAAAATATTAATATATATGTTTTAAATAATGTAATATTAAAGTTTGTTATTATTTTGATTTTTAGTCCGACACTGCACCAAACGCTTCACTAAGTTAGTCCAGCTTAATCTCGTCTAAGCCAGTCCAGCTTAGTCCCTGAAACTAGTCCAATCCGAGACAGTTCGGTGCAACAAACGCACCCTTAGGGTTCAGAGTCTGTATCCTGAGCTGTGAGTTGATGTTCTTCTGGTACAAATATTGTCGTGGCTTTTACGTCTTCTAACTCTTTTTATAATCTTCCTAGACTTCGTGCACTTGCGTGCATTTTTTGAATCACGGCGTGCTACACTTGACTTACACGTTTTAAATGTATTTATATGCGTAAATTGACAACTAATTTAATCACATTATTATCCGTACGAAAGACATTTTTTATAACCAGCACACGTATCTTAAGATGTTTTGAATGTGTTTAAAAATAGAGAAATTGAATCACATTATTGCTAGCCTATTGTGAGATACAAATTTTTTTTTGTAAAGCACAAAAAAAAAATTTATTATTAAAAAAAGCACTGTTAAAATGACAAAAATGGCCCTGCCATATTTGATGTATTATTTTAGGATGCCTTTGAAGTTTTTTGTCTTGGGGGTATTTTTATCCAAATATTTTTGTTAAAGCGTGGTGACACCAAAATCTTTCCATTCTCTTTAGAAACACTTTGGATGCGATCCCTAACTATCAATGTTCTTTGACTAAAACCTTTGTGTTTTTTAGTTTTTGATCGAAGTCCCTAATATTAATGTAATAACGTATTTCTATGTAGGTTATTTTATTTTTAAACTCAAAATAAAATTTGTAATTATTTATATTAATGAGATTCTAATTAAAAAACTCATAATTTATGGGATTCAAATATTAAAGATAAATTATACTCTCCAATATATTATGTTTGTGACATCCCATATCGCCCAGGGGGTGATCCTTATATGTATATTCTCATCCCTACCTAGTACGAGGCCTTTTGGGAGCTCACTGGCTTCGGGTTCTGTAGGAACTCCAAAGTTAAGCAAGAAGGGGGCCAGAGCACTCCCAGGATGGGTGACCCACTGGGAAGTTGCTCGTGAGTTCCCAGAAACAAAACCATGAGGGCGTGGTTGGGGCCCAAAGTTGATAATATCGTGCTACGATGGTGGAACGGGCCCGGGAAGTGATCCGTCCCAGGCCAGGAAGTGATCCGTCCTAGGCCAGTATGTGACAAATTAGTATCAGAACCTAACCCTGACTGTGGTGTGCTGACGAGGACGTCGGGCCCCTAAGGGGGGTGGATTGTGACATCCCATATCGCCCAAAGGAGTGATCCTTATATGTATATTCCTATCCCTACCTAGCACGAGGCCTTTTAGGAGCTCACTGGCTTCGAGTTCTGTAGAAACTTCGAAGTTAAGCGAGAAAAGGGCCAGAGCACTCCCAGGATGGGTGACCCACTGGGAAGGAGCTCACTGGCTTCGGGTTCCGTAGGAACTCCGAAGTTAAGGTTCCGTATGAGCTCTGAAGTTAAGCGAGAAGGGGGCCAGAGCATTCCCAGGATGGGTGACCCACTGGGAAGGAGCTTACTGGTTTCGGGTTCAGTAGGAACTCCGAAGTTAAGCGAGAAGGGGGCTAGAGCATTCCTAGCATGGGTGACCCACTGGGAAGTTGCTCGTGAGTTCCCAAAAATAAAACCGTAAGGGTGTGGTCGGGGCCCAAAGCGGACAATATCATGCTACGGTGGTGGAACGGGCCCAAGAAGTAATCCGCCCTGGGTCGGGATGTGACAAGTTGAGAATCGAGCTTCGTTAGGAGCCCTGGAAGTTAGCCAAAAAATTTGCAAACTGCAGAAAATCACGAGGAATGCGAGTATGCCTGTACTCACGGGCGCGTGGGGCGTGCATGAGCATTCTGTGCAGCCCCTTTGGGCAACGCGTCCAACCTCTGGCCGGTGTGTGGTCGACACGTGTGTTCGTGTCGTCGAGTAGATTGATTTCATATTGTTGATGCACAAAATCCGACGGATATTAGACCAATGTAAATCAGACCGTGAATCACACAAACGCACAAGAACACAAAGATGTATCGTGGTTCACCCCAATGTTTCGGCTACGTCCACACTGATGTTGATTCCGTTTCATTGTATGAATGTATGGATTACAATAGATCGGCAATGGAGCTCTCTGTGGATGCGGCCCTTGTCGATTTGCCCTCTGTTTGGCTGAGAGGGTATTGCTTTCTATTGTTGTGAGGCTCTGGATCTGAGACCCCCTTAGTGAAAGTAAGGAGGATCCCTTTTATAAAGTAAGGGTTTCCTCCTCTTACATATATCATGGGCTCAATAATGAAGCTCAAATATCGAGGCCCAATATATGGTACCAACAGAAATTCCCCAAGTCTTCAGTCAAAAGAGTCTTTTGGCTGGAGACTTCAAATCCAGTCCATGTGGGTCGAAGTGACTAGATATTATCTTGAACCAGTACTCAACACAAGGCAATGCTCAACATAAAGTAATACTCGGCTAGAGGTATCACACGTTGCGAGACTGCTTGACTGGAGGCGATGCTCGTTGCGAGGCTGTTTGGCTAAAGGCTATGCTCGCTACGAGGCAGCTCAGCTCATGGTGACCCTCATTGCAAGTATGTACTTTATGTCAACGTGCACTCAGTATGAGTTGATTCTTGATATGATTCGGGTCCGCTTGTCAGGTTTGCATATTGAGTCTGTGTGTCAAATCCGCGAATCAGGTCAACAAGTCGGGTCTTTGAGTCAAGGCCATACGTAGGGTCATCGAGTCGGGGTTATCTGTAGGGTGTTTGAGTTGGGTCCAGGCACATTAGTGTCCAAATAAGCGAGTGTCCGAGCAAGTAAGTATCCGGTCAGACAAGAAATCACCGTTTGGACTGAATCTTTGTCACCATAAGCATGTGGCTCATCAGTCTATAAGTTGGTAAACTTCTTTAATCAGCAACAATATTGATCAGTGGATCTAGTTGCTCAATAATTCATGACAATAAATGATAGTATAAGTATGACCGTATAATGAATAAATCAAATTGACAAAGTTTGTCAAGGCAAAATATTGTACTATGTGACTTATATAAATAAATAATTTATTCAGTCTTGTGGTAAATCACATGTTGTATAAGTGACATAGTTTAAAGATAATCATATATCACTAGGTAATGAATAATATATATATATATATATATATATATATATATATATATATATATTATTTTCATTCAAGTTGTTGATATCCAATTTTGTCAGATGAGGTGATAAAATAATTATATAATGTGAATGGTGTAGTGGGCTGTCAGACATGAATGATGGTCACATATAATAATTTAACTAATGGGCTGTAAAGGAATATAAAGATGCTCTTATCTTCCTCGTGTGTTTTTTCCAAACAGTGGGATAATGGGTACATATTATACTCACGTATGATTAAAGTTTCATCCTAACATTTAAATGATGAATAAAGTATTCGGAAATGATTAAAGTTATGTTTATTTTAAACGAAAGTGGCCGACACTTGTAACAAATATCATATATAATAACAATAAAATATTAAATAGATAATGATATTAAAAAAACATAATGATGTTTCCTCTCGTACAGTGCACACAACAGTAGTCGTGTAACTTTAATGTAATGACAATGGGGATGCACTATATATACACATATCATAAAAGTAGATAACATATTGCTAATTGTAAAGCAAAAGCTGTAAAGCAAATGCAGATATAAACGTTGTAAAGCAAATGCATGATGTGGTCTCCTGTTAAAGAATTTACATACAGATGTAAAGCAAAATGATCTTATCAAAATAATGATAAAGTAATAAAATAATAAAGAAAATGATCTTATCTCCTTCATTGCTTTTCTCGTGGATTTTTCAGAAAGGGAGCATGGTGGGAACATGCATTCCCCTTCATTATGAAAGTTTTATCTTTTTCAGAAGTTGGTGGTCGACAATTGCAGGTTGTTGGTGCGCACTACGCCTACTGCGTACATGAGAAAATTTGAATCCAGATCACACGGTGATTTGAAGATGAATACCCTGGCATTGAAGGCCAATGGCACCAAATCGGACAGAGGGCTTGGACCAGCCGACGGAGCCGGAGAATTTCTACAAACCAGGCACGTGGTGCTCATGCGAAGCCACTCATCGACGCATTCTGCATGGAAACAATGGTGGCAGTCCGGAATGCACCGTACTTGATCCTTAGGCTTGTAATCGGACAAGCAAATGGAGCACACGGCGTCGTTGCGCTGAGGGAGCCGCTGGCTTTCGTCGAGTACCAACTTTAGGTACGAGTCAATGATAGGGTCGTCGAGGCCCATGAGGACCACCACAGGCTCCGTTGAGTTGCTTATAGTGGAGAAGCGGTGGTTGCGGTCTTCATAGTAGTTAGAAGTGGCATCACATGTGTGGCCTCTACCGGTTGAGCCTTTGACTTTAACGCAGACGTAACAAGCGAGCATGATGGCGGAGATAATGACGAGGATGTTGACGGTAATGGCTATACCGTAGCCAACGTCGACACCAGGGGCTGATGCATATGGCTCCGCCGTGAACTCTTCATTGTGTCAGAGATTAAAATGGAGGCTTGTGTGGTGTTCAACAGAAAAGCTCTTCTCCTCTTTCCTCTGATCTCTCTCCACTTTTTTCTCCTTGCTTTATTTTCCTAGTTACTTGCTATTGCTGGCATTTTTTCTCGGTGCAGCAAGTGGTGGGTCATTTTGCCCCTGGGTTCTTGGTTGTGCAGATTCACGGTGGAGAGTGATGAGGTTCTGAAGGTTTCACAGTGGTGAGATGAAAAATTGAGAGAGAACCGACATAGCTTTTTGTGTCGTTTCCCACAGACGGCGCCAAATGTTGATGCACAAAATCCGGCGGATCTTGGACTAACATAAATCCGACCGTGAATCGTACAAACGCACAAGAACACAAAGATGCATAAATATCGAGGCGCAATATAAGGTACCACGTACATCTTGTGTTTGCTTTCCTGTCTCTATCCATTTACATCACTGGCACCTGAGCAATCTAGCGAAGGTAAAAAACTTGACATTTTCTGTTATACCAAAGTCCTCACTGATTTTGTGCATCAACATTTAGCGCCATCCGTGAGAATTTGGGTGATCTGGTAGTGGAAGTGCTTGAGCAACAATTGTGTTTGTGCCAGATACGCTACCATAAAGCTATCCTTAGCATCAAAGTTGTTGGTGACCTGGTTAACCACCAATTGAGAGTTATTGAAGATATCAATTCGTTTAACCCCAAGGTGTTTGGCCAAACGTAAGCCTGCTAGGAGGGCTTCATATTCAGCCTCATTGTTCGACGCCTTGAATTTGAAATGAAGAGCATACTCCATCGCCACTTTGTCAATGGTCGTAAGGACTAGTCTTTCTGAAAAAGATAAAACTTTCATCATGAAGGGGAATGCATGTTCCCACCATGCTCACTTTATGAAAAAGCCACGGGAAAAGCAATGAAGGAGATAAGATCATTTTTTTAATTATTTTATTACTTTATCATTATTTTGATAAGATCCTTTTGCTTTACATCTGTGTGTAAATTCTTTAACAAGATACCACATCATGCATTTGCTTTACAGCTTTTGCTTTACAATTAGCAATATGTTATCTGTTTTTATGATCTGTGTATATATAGTGCATCCCCATTGTCATTATATTAAAGCTACATGACTACTGTTGTGTGCACTGTACGAGAGGAAACATCATTATGTTTTTTCAATATCATCATCTATTTAATATTTTATTGTTATTATATTATGATATTTGTTACAAGTGTCGGCCACTTTCGTTTAAAATAAACATAACTTTAATCATTTCTGAATACTTTATTCATCATTTAAATGTTAGGATGAAACTTTAATCATATGTGAGTATAATATGTACCCACTATCCCACTGTTTGGAAAAAACACACGAGGAAGATAAGAGCATCTTTATATTCCTTTACAGCCCATTAGTTAAATTATTATATGTGACCATCATTCATGTCTAACAGCCCACTACACCATTCACATTATATAATTATTTTATCATCTCATCTGACAAAATTGGATATCAACAACTTGAATGAAAATAATATATATATATATATATATATTATTCATTACCTAGTGATATATGATTGCCTTTAAACTATGTCAAATATGTGAACCCGATTTGCGGACCTGATCCTCAGATCCGACATATAAACCCAATATGCGAACCCGAATCATGTCGAGAATCAACTCATACTGAGTGCACGTTGACATAAAGTACATACTTGCAATGAGGAACACCACGAGCCGAGCCACCTTGCAACAAACATAGCCTCTAGTCAAGCAGCCTTGCAACGAACATCGCCTCAGGCCGAGTAACCGCCTCGCCACGAGCATAGCCTCTAGCCGAGCAGCCTCGCAACGAGCATCGCCTCCAGCCGAGCAGTCTCGCAACGTGTGATACTTCTAGCCGAGTATTGCTTTATGTTGAGCATTGCCTTATGTTGAGTACTGGTTTATGACAATATCTAGTCACTTCGGCCCACACATGGACTGGATTTGAAGTCTCCAGCCAAAAGACTCTCTTAACTGAAGACTTGGGGGACTCCTGTTGGTACCATATATTAGGCATCGATATTTAGGCTTCATTATTGAGCCCATGATATATATGTAAGAGGAGTAAACCCTTACTCTATAAAAGGGATCCTCTTCACCTTCAGTAAGGGGGTCTCATATCCATAGCCTTACAACAATATAGGGCAATACCCTCTCAACCAAACAAAGAGCAAATCGGCAAGGGCTGCATCCACAAAGAGCTCCATTGCCGATCTATTGTAATTCATACATTCATACAGTGAAACAGAATCAACATCAGTGTGAACGTAGCCCAAACATTGGGGTGAACGACGATACATCTTTGTGTTTTTGTGCGTTTGTGTGATTCATGGTTGGATTTACGTTGGTCCAAGATCCGCCGGATTTTGTGCATCAACACATATATTTAAACCCTAGGTTTGAGCAAACTATGGGGGTTTTATTTAGGTTTCCATTATGTGCTTTAATTAATGTTATTTTAGTTATTTCACATATAGGGAAAACTTATCCCGAGGATTTACGAGGCCAAGCTAGGCTTGGGGGCTACGACCCAACGACGTACTTGTGAGTAGGCAGTTGTTTTATACCTATACATATTTATAGTTTCCATAAATGCGTATTTACTTCATTTTTACGCTTATATTGCCAAGTATCGTTATTGTGATATATCTTGTGATAAATGCTGCTATATGGATGAGATATTACTGTCATGACATTCGTACATACTTATATGCATGCTCATCTTGCTGCATCTCGGTGTTAGTACTCGCCTCAGGGCCAAGCCAGTCCTTCATGTGTATGTTCACATCTCCACCATTCGTTCGCCTTGGATCCAAGTCAGGTGCAAATCCTGTCGGGTAGATTGCATTAGGCAATCCAACTTGTATGTGATGTGCTTCTGCACCAGTCTTCATGTGATCGTAGTACTAGAGCATATTGATTACACCCAGTCATGTTCGAGTAAAAAACTATTTGTTCAAACTTGTGTGTTAGCTTAGATGGATGAACACTTAGTTATACTTATTATCACATGATTATTAATGTGGCATTTGATACATCATTACTTGGCATATTCCTGGTTATATTACTGCTATAATATTATCGATTTATTGTTTATATACTTGAGTAGTTTGTTTTAAGGAAACTATACTTGTTTTACGGCGAGGGGTTAGTATTTTCAAAGTTAAAGATTTTCTTATAAGCATTGTTTTGCTGACCCACTCAACTTTGTTTTTCGCCCCTCCAGGACCTAAATAGCTGTACTCTTTGTGGCACTTGAGGAATCTCGGCAGTTCTGACATTTCCTTCTGTTTTAGATGTACGAACTTATCACTATTATGTAATAAATGTACTTTGGTTGTTTTGACTACTCTTATGTAGTCTCATTGTCTATTATGTTCTAAATAATTGTAGTGGGTTCAACCCACGATTGTGCACTCTTTCACTGTTAGTTCTAATTAATTTTAATTTTATTCACTTTTTACATCATTTACCCTTATGGTTATGTCACCTCACGGTGATGGCCAACATGCTTCGACCTTTCCAGGTCGGGGTATGTCAGCTTGGTATCAGAGCATAGGTTTAGACAGTCCTGCACTTCCTAGTGTGTTTTAACTCTTGTTTTCTTATGTCAGAACTATGCTACCTCGTAAAGAGCCACATTCTCCAGCTGAAAATAACTTTCCGGACTTTGGGCAGTTTGGTAAGGCTATCGCCACTGCTATTCAGTCTTTATTCCGTCCTACCCCGAGGAATACTCTGGATATTGTATCTCGCCTAAAGATTAATGATTTCTTTGGTAATGAGGGATCAGAGAAGTCAGAGATATGGTTCAATCATGTGGAGAAGACTTTTCGAGTTATGCACAGGCAAGGTAATCTTTCCCTAGAGAGATGGGTCGAGATAGCGACCTGGTTCTTTCGATTGGGGCCAGAATCTTGGTAGGATCATGAGAGAAGATCATTATCTTTATCTGATGATGATGTTATAAATTGGGATGTTTTCAAACGGTTATTTTAGACCAGATTTATTCCTCCGAAGTATTTGGATAGTAAGAAGAATGAGTTCACAGACCTGAGGCAGGGCAATATGTCATCCATTGAGTATCATCGAAGGTTCACAGACTTATCTCGTTATTGCCCCGAGACTGTTGCTAATCCCCGGGAAAAGCTTCGTTTGTTTAAGAGGGGAACTTGCAAAAAAATGGCGTATTATAACAACCTCTACTCCCTGTGCTACTTACCAGGAATTCTTCGAAGTCTTGCTTCGGATTGAAGATTCGGAGAATGCTCCTGATGATAAGGATGAGGAGGATATTGGTAAGAATGTCCAGAGGTACAATAACAAGGGGCAATCGTCACTTGGCCTAAGAAGAGCTCAGAATTTTAAAATGAGTGGAAACAGCTTTGGATCGTCGAGTGGGGGTTCTAATTCTGGTACACCTCATAGAGGAGGCAGATTCGCTGGTGGTTCTCGTTTTCAGAACCAAAGAAACTCCAGCAGTTCAGGTGTTCAGTTTTGTCGCAGGTGTAACACCCGTCACTATGAAGAGTGTAAGAGATGAAGCAAATGATGTTTCACTTGCGGACAAACAGGGCATATGGCCTATAATTGTCTTTAGAATTAGACAAATTAGCCTGCTAATCTACCACCGGCAGTCCCCCTACAGCAGCTTCCAACATCTGGTAACCGTCAGTAGATAGGCCACGGTGGAGCTTTCCACTACCAATGGGGCGTAGCCCTGAATCATGGAGGACCATACCAGTATACAGATGAGGTTCCCTACTACCAGGGAGGCTATCAGCAGACTCAGGGAGGTTATCCATAGTTCCAGGGAGATTATACGCCGTATTAAGGCGGCAGAGCACAGATGTATACTAGAGGGTAATATCAAAACCTAGACATAGCGTCGAGCAGTAGAGGTTCAGGCAGATAAGCAAATCTACCCCAGCAGGGCTGAGGTAATCAGACTCAAGCAAAT